TATATTAGAAATAAAAAATTGTGTATAAATACTATTGTGCGAGTTATTTTTATGAGAATGGTAGATGTTCGCTATAAAGTCGGTATTTTTAAAAATGCCTTTATGTATATATATTGCGAACAGAATGTGAATCTATTAAGCCACAAACCATTTGTATGGTTAGTGATTAAGCCTAAAAGTTAATTGATTTTAAATGATCCTATTTCGATAACGATTATTGATGCAGTCGTTACTAACACAGCCAGCTGTTGCTGTTGAGCGGATAACATGTATGTTAATCAAATATGAGTTTCAGCTGTTTTAACATATTCGTAATCAGCTGCTTTAACATAATACCGTTGCTCACTTGGATATTTGTAGTTCGTTTGAAGTTTATTAATTTGTGATTCGGGCTTCAAAGCTTTTAAATGCATGGTACATGTTTGATTGCCAAGTTGCTGACCCTTCCACGTTCCACTGCATTGGTTTCCGCCCGCTTGCGGCAGTGTTCTTGTTACTACACAACATCTGGGTGCCGCATGGCGTCGCCAGCCGGAGTTGCTAATAAGACAACGAAAATTTCGTCGGAGATAATATCACAGCTTGGCAAGCCGCCCAAGATGCGTGAGAATCCCGCAATTAAGAAGGTGGACAGCGCTGAGTTTCATAGCATATTCACACCAGAGCTGGAGGCTCTTGTGGCTATGTTCAAGAAATATGACTACGAACTGCGCATTGCAGGCGGCGCCGTCCGGGACATTTTAATGAACATAAAGCCGAAAGACATTGACTTTGCGACAACTGCCACTCCAGAGCAGATGAAGGAGATGTTCGGCAAGGAGGAGGTGCGACTGATCAATGCCAAGGGCGAAAAGCATGGCACAATCACGCCACGCATCCACAACAAAGAGAATTTCGAGGTTACAACGCTGCGCATTGATGTGCGCACAGATGGACGTCATGCGGACGTTGTCTTTACCACCGACTGGCAACTGGATGCCAATCGTCGTGACTTGACCATCAATTCTATGTTCCTCGGCTTCGATGGGACAGTCTACGATTACTTTTACGGCTACGAGGATTTGCAGCAACGTCGCGTCGTTTTCGTAGGCGATGCCGATGTGCGTATCAAGGAGGATTACCTACGCATTCTTCGCTACTTTCGATTCTATGGTCGCATCGCTGAGAGACCGGACTGTCATGACAAGGCAACGCTGGCGGCTATCAAGGCCAATGCCGAGGGTCTGGCCCGGATCAGTGGAGAACGCATTTGGGCAGAGCTGCAGAAGATTGTAGTTGGCAACTTTAATCGCGAGCTGATACTAGAAATGAACAATTGCGGACTGCTTCAGCAATGCGGTCTCCCTATTCATCCGAATCTTGAAGAATTCGAGCGAGTGTGCGTCGATCTCAAGCACTTTCATGAGCCACATTACCCAATCTTATATTTGATTGGGCTGTTGCATAGCAGCGAGCAGGCCATGAAGCTGCACGAGCGCCTGAAGCTGAGCGCCTATGAACGGGATCTTGCTTTGTTCATCACTCAGCAGCGGGAGAGAGTAATACATACAATAAAAATGACAACGATTGAAAATAATATAATTTTTCCGTTTCAGGTGAACTCCGAATATGTTTGTCTACGGGACTATCAAAAATTGTGTCTTCAGCCCTATGCTAAGCGGGATTACGTTGAGCAGTTACTAAAATACGCAAACAAACTGGAGCTGTTTGCGCAGTTGAAGGAGTGGCAGATGCCTAGCTTACCCATAAATGGCAACACACTGAAGCCGTACGGCCTGGCGGGTAAACAAGTGGGCGTGGTTCTAAATGAACTGCGTTTGCTGTGGGCAGACAGCGACTTTACATTAAGTGCTGAACAGCTGCTGGAGAAGATGCCCGCCATACTGGAGCAGTTGCCATCGCCCAATAAAAAGCAACGCACGGAGTGAAAATTGAGCATTCAATTGTTTTAATTCCTTACTTAAATGCTAAAGTGGATAGACTAGATTAGACTTTACTAAATATCAGTATGGGGCGCTTGAAGCCTGCTTGGCAGTGCGCTGGAACGCCCATCAGCTGCATGTCGGCAAATCCAACTTCCTGGCTGAGTAGGTAGCTTGTGAACTGATCAGGCTTGAATTGAATGGCCTCGTAGTTCTTCCTTATGCTCTCCTGCAAAACGAACGAAATGGCAACGTTTATTCTCAGAATTAGCTATAGACTCGTATATCTGTTTCACTAACCGTTAGCTTTTTGCGTCGCTTGTAGGTATCGAATGCCTGCGGCTCTAGTATCAGCTTGCCACCTGGATGCAGAAGCAGGTACATCCGTCGAAAGGCCTGCTTCAGCCCCGCATCACAGAAGTTGAGGTGTATCCACTTGGTGACAGAGAGGCAGAGTATGACATCGAATTGTGGTCGCTCGATCTCAAGTAGGACATCGTCGGCTAGCACAAAGTTGCCATGCACAAATTTTACATTGTATGGAAATTTGCCAGCAGCCGTCGCTGCTGAAATATTACTGGAACGCTTGAGCAGATTGACGGATAGTTGGGCCTCAGATGTCAGGGCGCGATCGATGTCCAGGCCAACCAGGCTCCTCACCTCAAATTTCTTGGCTATTTCCAGAGAGAAGTGACCGGAGTTACAGCCAATGTCGAGCAGCTGTTTGCCTCGAAACAACTCCGGCTGCATGGCCAGCACATCTAAGCGTATATCATGGAAGTCTGTGTCCAGAATGCGCTTGCCATAATAATGCCTATAGTTGCCAAAGATAAACGCCTCATTTTTATTGATCCTGGGCTTGCTATTACTCAGTTCTATACGCTTTTTTGGACTCTGCGCCACAGTTTTTTTGTTATTCTCAGGCACATGTGCGTTATCCACTTTTGTAGCCTTGCCGCTGAGTTTCAATCTCTTGATATTCGCAACGCCATCATTATCTTCGTCGGGCGCTGAGCGTTTTTTATCAACGTCTTCCTTTTTGAAGTCAGGTACCACTGTATTGTTATTATTTTCCAAATCCATTATGAATTTGAAACGTTTTAAAACGTTTAAATTTTGCGGAACTCAATAACAAAATATTTAGCGGGATTAACATGTTCTGTGCGAAACAGTGTGCTAAAAGGCAAAAACTATATCTTGTTTTATGAATTTCTTTGTGGTGGTTCTGTTAGAGATAGAATTACTTACAATTTGTAAGCAAAGGTAGAAAACTATATATATAATAAAGCAAAGGTAGAAAAAAAAATATATATTTGAGCATTATAAATTAAAGTATTGGCTTACAGTGCAAAATGAGTAAATGCGATAGACTTTGACTATCGATTTATTTATCAAGCTATCGTATATTGGAATGACTTTATACGTGCGATATCAATTTTAAATCTTGATATGATATGAGGATAAAAATATTAAAGGAAGAAGTTCACCAGATTTTTTTAATTTTAAATGAATCGGTACGTTTGATAAATAGACTCACTTTACAACCAAATGGATAGTGGCAAAGACCAATTCCGTTACTGTTAATGTTAACAAACAGTTCTGCTATTGATATCAAAATCAAGGTTTCTTTCGGGGCGCGCATTTTAAATGGCGTGTCTATTGAATGCCTAACAGATACAAATAATAAGTTATTTATGAACATTTGCATTCAATTCAAACTAAAAAATGAAAAATACAGATCTCTGTGGTATTTGAAATGGTGGTTTTATAGACATATTGAATTGTTGAATCCAGTCAATCGAAATACTTTAATATAATAAATCTTGAAGATGAAGAATTGATAGCATCTTATGTACTAGCAGCACGAGGTACGGTAGAGGTAGGGAATGAGGATCATCCCCATTATCGACGACGAACAGCAGAAATTCATATAGTGCCAACCACTTTCCATTTGTGCTTTATTAGTCAAATTATTCATTAATTAATGAATAAGTTCTTCAAGAAAATAATAATATTATTTGAAAGAATGCTTGTAAAATAGCAGATAAGTAAATAGTCAAAAGCATCGGTGGCTCACTTTGAAAATTTATGTATTTCTATATATTTCATTTAAGACAGAAAGAAGGATATATGGAGTTATTTATTTGGGTAAAATAATGTAAGATCGTTCTCAGATATGGGAAAGAAGACTTTCCATAAGTTGACATAAATAAATATTCAGGCATTTCTAATTGTAATATTTTACCAGTTTGTATTTTTACAATTATTCCCAAATTTCTTAATGTGGTTCATATTAAACTACAATTTAATCTTTCAAAGATAGTGAAGTAAATACCAAAAAATATTCTATTATAAAGTATTATATACTTATTGCATATAGGCATCATATATGATTTTTTTTTTATTAAATATAAATTATATCAGAAGGAATATTAGAGCTCTGCAAAATCACATTAGAGTCTTTCATATCAGAAGCAAAGATTTAAATACAGTGCTAAGTTTAAAATGTAGTACTGTGAATATGTGATCGCATTTTTTTTTTTATTTT